TAAACTAAACTAAAAGGGTTCTGCCAATATGACTACCCTACGAGGCGGAAAATTGGGCACCTCGGATCAACTCGCCAATCCTGTGTGTCTAAACGCTCACAGCTTGCTGGCAAAACGGCGTAATATTTGCGGAAAATCTGGCAGTGTAAAAGGGGCTACTGAGAAGGAGACAATAGCAGAGGATAGGTGTGGAGAGTAATTCACTGGTGAAGAATGTTTGCAGACACCAAATATATTCTGCATTCTGTGTAGATGATACTGTCCTCACCACAAAACTCACCAACATCTACTGAAAAAATATCTGCTCAGTAAATCAGCCATTAAAAGACAATGTAATGATTTCAGAGCGATTGTGATAATTAACCCTTTCCTTGTCAGGATTTTGCTGTGCCCACGTGAACCCCTGAGAGCTGCAGTGTTGCTGCAGACTGTTAGTCTTGTTGACATAGTTTGGAAAACATAAATCTGAAAACAGGAAAATCATTGACTTGGATGTGACACACAGCAGCAGAAGTAGATGTTAAACACTGGGAGACTTCTGACAAATACTGATTAAAGTAAAAGTAAAGCTTATTTTAAGTACAATTAAGTTCAACTCGTGTGCTGCATGAGCATAGTTTTTACTCTTGGTGAATGAATAATTTACTAAAATCCAATTTTTTCACGATCACATGAAACCCTGCAGTGTAATACATCAGTGTTTAGAGCAGAGCTCTCTGTTTTTGCCACAACAGGCTGCTGTTGTGTGCTGTGTAGTCTCCGCCTCTTCTGTGGTAGCAATGCCAAAACAATTTTCCACTACAACCCAGTGATTGTTTGTGTGTGTGTGTGTGTGTGTGTGTGTGTGTGTGTGTGTGTGTGTGTGTGCGCAAGAATGCTTGTTTACCTCAAGCTGAGGATTTCACAGAGGAAGTAGCTAAATAGCTCTTCATTCTTTCTCCGCCCAGCTCTTTTAATCTTTTGGTAATTTTCTCTGTTTAGTTCAAACATGCACAGAAAATGCAAAGTTGTGTCAAGTGAACAAATCATTCACTTCTCTTATTCACTTCTGTAACTCAACAAAAAACATGTGCATCCAGTTATTGCAGCTTGATAAAAAAAAAAAAGCTCCAGTTGTGCAAGAGTGTGTCATAACCCTGTTGAGTTCATTAGAGTTTATGAGCTATGGTTTGGCTGAATGTATCGAAAGAAATGATAGATCCAAACTGGGGCTCAGATCTCTCGGCAGTTGTGTGTTTTGAGCAAGAATGAGCAAGAATAATGCTGCTGCTACCACGCAGCTCGGTTTACAATGAGTTACCGCTGAACAGCAGGAAATGTGAGAAGCTTGGAAACAATGTAGTTCAAGTTTGTTCTGTGACTCACTCCTTTTTCTTTCCATCTGTATCTGTTGTTGACAACTGTTGATAATTAGACTGTTTGCAGTGTACTATTAAACACTACCCCTCCTTTTACATGTGCAGGTACAGTTTAACTCCATATACTTGAGCCTGACTACGAGACAGTGGGCACCTGGACACAGGTATGCAAAAGGCCCCAGCAACAGACTGTAAGAATAGTGGAAATAGCTTCAGTGATGCCACCTGTTGATGTGGACTTCCATTTTGAAACCCTGAGTTCGGCATTTCAGCCGTTGCCATCTTGGCCTTTGTGGAGCCAGATGTGACCATATTTGGATGAGAGGCCGGCGCTGTGGAGGAGCGAGGGGTGGATCTGACTGAGAAGCTGAGGACACCATCAGCAGACAGCCTGTAATCAAAGCAGCCCGCCCTTAAATATGCGTAACTTGAAGCCTTTGTAAAATGTTTGGCTGAGTTATATAAAAATGTATCCCCTACAGTTGTGATGAAGGGGAAATAAGCTATTAAGACCAAAACTGTTTTTGCACCAGGCTGTAAACCTGATTATGTCTGCTGTAAAGTTGGGCATTTCAACATGGTGATCTCAGGGATTGACCAGCTTCTGGAGCCAGGCTTTAAGTGGTCGTTTAAAGAACTGCAGTTTTTGGCACACACTCTGTGGTGGTTTTGTGTTTGTTTGTGACCATGAAGTGTCTCCTTGTTGTTGTCTTGTGTCTCTTTGAGATTGTTTTGTGTCTTTTTGTAGTCACTTAGGTCTCTGGAGTATTTTTTTTTTTTGTCTTACTGGGGTAATACTGTTGTTGGTTGTTTTGTGTCACTTTGTAGTCATTGTTTTGTTTTGTTTTGTGTCTCTGTGGTCCTCTGTGTCTCTTTTTAGTTGTTTTGCATGTTTTCGTAGTTATTTTGTGTCTCTTTGCAGTTCCTTTGCATCTCTTTGTGGTCATTTTGAGTCTCTTCCTCGTCAGTATTTGTTCATTTGAGTGTCATTTTACAGGTGAATGGAGACCACTGACTGTGTACGATTCGCTCATTTAGTAATCCATCCATGCATATACTGCAGCAGACTACATCAAAGCACGATTCATAAAAACTAACTTGCGCTGTACTGAAATCCAGTCACTACTCTTCCTTCCTGTTTTTTTCCCCACTTTATTTCTGTTGAGTTCACCTCAGAAATTCAGATGTAACAGTGATACCATCGACTACAACAAGTAACATAATTACTGAAACATGCTTTCATGTTCATTCATACACACATTCACTACTAGTGTGTTGTCTCTTCTGGTCTATTGGATAAATTAAATGCCTTTGTGGAGTAAAATAGGTGTTAGGGTTAATTCATGTTTACCATTGATGCTTACATTAGTTTTGGAACAGCTTTGCTTCTGCATCCAGTAATTAGGGTCCCCTGCACACTACTTATTAACTTCATCTGTTATAGTGGGTTTCCACAGAGATATGTTAAGTGCCTGTATCCGGAGGCTTCATGGCATAAAGACTCACATTTCACCATTTTAACTGCCTCGTTTCCACCAAACACTTTCGGTATGATACCTTTGGAACCAAAAGTAACCCTTCAGACATGGTACCTAGACCCTTGGTCCACTTAGTGTTTCCACCGCAAACAGTACTCTGTCATGTGGGCGGAGTTGTTGTCACTCACTGCTCCATCCAGCACTCACTGTATTTCCTCCTTTATCAGTCTGCACCTCAGTTATCATCCACAGAACGAGGCTGCAAGCCACCATTTTCAGAACAAAATAGAACAGGCTGCAGTGAGAGTCTGTCTTGGCGGGATAGTGGGTTTGTGCATTTAGTCCTTCTCAGGCAAGCTCAGGAGTTTAGTGTTGCTGTAGCCCACAGGAACAATGCTCCATGATACTTTTTTCTCCGAGTGAGGATTGGGACATGTGCAGTTAATATAATCTGGTCGAAAATAATATAAATTCTAAACCTCTTGAAGATCCACTCATTACTAAAAGTGTATGTGATACAAGAGAGACAATGCCAACTTAAGTAGTGATCAAACTGTCACAATTAACACGTCGCCAAATCATGCATTGAGTAACGTTAGAAGTAAATATTCCACCTTAAAAGCTGCTGGCAGTTGGCCCAGTGAATTATTTTTCTCAGACTAGAGCTGCTTTGAGAGACAGCAAACATCTTTTCATATTATAGTTACAGTTTACTAATATATGTAAAACTCTCCATGGTATGAACAGTGGTTACATGAGCCTCAAAACCAGCCACAACTCAGCCCTGAGCAGAGTGACCGTCCTCTACTGACCAGTCAACGGACTGCGGTGTTCACAGCTCCACCTTTTAGTACCAGATCTGTGTGCTAGTGTTACGCCCCACCCTTAGGCAGCAACAACAATTACATGTTATTAGAAAGGTGGTATGGACACAATCCAGTTTTTACCTGCTGCCAGAACTTTGCAACGGCCAATATTGTTTACAAGTTGTGCAACTGGGTGTGTGTCTCTTCACAGAAAATGTGATCCTGGTCACAACTACTTTAGTTGGAGCTACCACAGAAGCTGTTTTGGTTATTTTGGCAGGTGTTTGTGAGTCTGTCTGTCTTTCTTTGGCAAGATTTTTGTTGAAGCAGTAATGTCACAAAAGCTGACAGGTATGTAGCAACAAAACCTTACAAGTGTGAAGCTGCAATCGCCATGACGGACCAGGCCAAAGATGGGTGTGTGTGTGTGTGTGTGTGTGTGTGTGCTTATCTGTCTGGCACAACTGACTGACAAATAAGTGCAATAAGTACGAAAACACGTCAGATAGACTAGTGATCGTTTCCGTTGCCCACAGAGCTCCTTGACCAGCTTCTCAATTTCAGGGCAGTTCACTGTGGCTTCGTCTCTTTTCTGAACACGGCAGCTCCATTGAGCTCTGCTGTCACAAAGCGCCATGAAGCCAGGCACAGAGCGCCCCCTGTCTGAACCATGCGTTCTTACCCAGTAGACTCAAACAAGAGTAATCCCTCTCAATAATCACGTATGGCCCAAAAGAAGTGTGTGTCAGCATATTTTTCTGCAGAGACTCTGCCCTCTGCCTGTGTTTTCTCATTTTCTTCTTATTTTGCCCTGTTTCTCTGACTCTTTTGTGTAGCTCTCTTTGTTAGGGTTATGTGGAGTTTTACATCAAGAGTGCCTTCCGTGTTTTGTTCATAATACCTTTTACACAATAAATCCACTGTGCGTTCAGATTTTGAGAAATTCATTACATGTCAAATGAGATTCTTTCTGACTGAAAAGAAGAGAAGGAGTTAGGTTACTTTCATGCCTTTGTCTTGATTTACCTACATTATGGTCGAACCATTTACACAGACTGTTTATTCAGCTTCAACTGGCTGACACATCAATATAGATGCTGGTTTCAAACAAATAGATGCAGATAGACAAATAGGCTGTCCGTGGTTTCACATGGATAGATGGACAGAGAGAAAGTAAGAGTCAGACAGAGAGTTGTAATGACTCCCACTGGGGAAAAGATGATACAACAAGGCATCAGGCAAAGGTTTAGCCTGCGGAGGACTTCCAACAATAAGAGTGCATGCTTGTTTTCATCCAAAGTAATGAGATTGAATGCTACTATGCAAGTGATTGTTACAAACAAATGAGGACAGCCATATTGATTTCAACTTTTTATTTATTTTCAGACAGTATTGAAGGGACACTACTGAAAACCTATTCACAGAGACAATAGAAGTCACATTCTGTAGCTTCTGTTGCCAGTGTAGGCAGTGTCGATACTAGTAAATAGTTTCACACATTATGATGGTAATTTTTCAAAGGTTTCATATTCAGTCTTCTGTTCAGTCTTCATCTTCTTGGCCTCTGCCAGTCTTCTCACGGTAGTGGCATTTGGCCATGAAACCCACACACTTAATGAACTCTCTGAAGTTGATCTCTCCATCGCGGTTCCTGTCTATCTTCCCCATGATCTTGGCACAGTTGGCTGAACTGATCTTAGCCTGGAGAACATAGAATCACAACATGAAATGCATCTGAATGGTGAATAAGAAGCATGATAACAAGTGAGTGTATTGAGTTTCTTACTTTAATCTCAGGGTTTTCGATTTCTTTCTCCCACAGCTTTGCTAACTCATCCTTGTTTAAGTTGCCATCACCGTTAGCGTGATCCACAAATACATCCACAATGGTTGCAATGGCCTGCTCCAGACGAGACATAGCTGAACAAAAAGATTGATAGTGATTTTGAGTAATAACTAAAGAAACACATGAGTTAATGCTTTTAAAACACAGAGGATGGACAGAAAATAAAGTCGTTGCCAAGAGTTTTGCAGACACTATGGTGTCAAGTCTTAGAATAATTCTTCTCTCAAGAACTGTAAGTGAGTTTAAATGTACTCATCTGCTCAAATTTGTTTTAAAATTGAGATGTGCAGGGAGTCTATGAACTTTCAGACAGTACGGAAAATCTGTACTCAGGTAAAAGTTAAAATTACCATTTCAAAAAGCTGCTCAAGTAGAAGTGATAGAGTTACCAGTTAATGAATAACTCATCATCTATTCTTGACTTTTTTTAGATTTTGGTATAAAAAGTTTGGCCAGATGTGGTCAAGAATCGTCTCTTGAAGCTGCCTCTTGTTGTGGATTTTGCTTTGTCATCATTGCATTGCAGTTAAAAGATAGGTGGTGCTTGTTTTTGTCTCCAGGCAGGTGCAAACTTGCAGTACAGGTGCTCCTGGCACGCTCTCTCACCTACACCCAATCCTCTCATTCAAAGCAGACTCATTGTAATGACAGTTTGAACAGCAGATGTAGTGATGTAAAAAGCAGATAACTGGCTCAAAAATACAATTTCAAAAAGGAACATGAAAAGCACTTGTTCCTTTACGGAAAAACTATTTTTAACTCGTGCATTACTTGTGTTTCTACCCACCCCTCTTTTCACACACAGAACACTTCTGTACTTTTCACAAATTCAATGTTGCTTTCTGTCAAGACTCACCTCAGATTTCAGATTCACCAGATGAGGAGAGATCACGTTGGCTTGGTTCCAGAGGAGACTGATGTCAGACTGAGGGGAAAGTTTCCTTTTATAAGAGGGGACACACAATGTCTGACACATGCAGTTACATACATTTACAAAGAAACACACATGTAGTGATTCATGTACTGGAAATCTGGCCCACTCCCCACAAACCAGCTTCACAGGTTCTTTTGTGCCGTACTGTATAGATGGAGCATTTATCATTGCTCAAAAGGTGGACTCATGTTTGTGTTGGCTATTGACAAAAGTTTGGATCCGTTGACACTGATGAAATATGTGTGTATGTTCATGCATTGATGTGTGAAGTGTTTTGGTTACAGGTGGAGTAGAGCTGTAAGGTGCAGCCTATTGTGGGGAAAATGTGTCATTAATAGAAAACTACACAGTGAGTAGTTTTCTTCCTAGCCCAAAAATGGTGAGTATAAACCCCTTTCAACTATGAAAACTAAACTCGTCAGCCTGTGGGAGTATAGCAGACCCTTTTCTCCTTTAGTCTATGTTTGACTGTGATGATGCTGCAATGGAGTTCCTGCCTTATTATCTTGCTGAGGTTTATAGTGTGTTGATGTTTTTTTTTTTTCCTGATTTCTGCTTGCTAAAGCTTTGAATGTTGCCTTGTCTCCTCTTTGTTGCTGCATTTGGGTCATCCTCTGCCACTGTTACTGTTATGTGAGTAAGTCCTGCTTAACTAATTATGTTATAGTGGTTAAAACTTTTTTTTTTGTAAACTTTTTACAGCACCAGTTTACAGTGTTACTACATACATGGTAGATGTTGGGTGGAGTCTTACAAAGAGAGATGAGATTAGGGATGTAACGATATGGAAAATTTGATATCTCGATTACAGTGACCAAATTATCACGGTAAACGATAATATTGTGATATTTTTTTAAGCGCTGTAAAATGTCCAAAAAATAGATACATTGAAATAACTTCACTAAATCTTGTAACTTCCTTATCATACTAAAATGTTAACAGCCAAAATCTTATATTAAAATGAAACTTTCACATTAAAGGGGCAAGGGATTGGCACAGCAACAGAAAATTTTATTTTAAATTAACAAAATATGTAAACACATTACAGGAGCAAAGTTTATTTGTCTGGTGCATTTTAACAGTCAGCAAAATATGTAAACAATTTATATATTATTTATTTATTAGCACGAGAGGAAAAATATATATTAAACAAAACAATGCAAGAGTAGAACAAAAGACATACAATATATAGAACAGATATCACAAATGTGCAGGAGAAACCAAAAAAACCCTGAGGGCAATGGTCATCAGGTCCATGTCATTGGTTCGACAGCCCATTGGTTCGACATCCCATTAGTCCGACTGTCCGCGGTGCTGAACGGCTCGCGGCGGGTGTATGGTGCGCCGCGACCGGCTTGAGGCAGAGCAGGCTCACGGCTTATGTGTTTGTCACTTTCTTTTTCATTTTAACCCACACCATGATCTTTTCCTGACCCTAACCAAGTGGTTTTTGTGCCTAAACCTAACCAGACCTTAACCACAGGGCATCATGATGATTTCGGAACGGACTTCGGAACACTGAGTTTAATATGGTCGGAACAATGGGCTGTCGAACCAATGGGCAGTTCCCATGGTCATCATTACACAGAATAATTCACACATTAGAAGTGTGCATGTGAGTCAGAGGATTACCTATATGAGAAAAGGAGTGCAAGCTCTCGGTCAAAGGTTAACACGGCAGTGTTTTATGTTGTTTCCTTGAGCTTATGTGAGAAAGCATAACTGGCCGTCTGTATCGATTCTAGCTCGCCATACAATAACCATAATCATAGTGATTCAATCATAGTTGATCTCAATTAGCGTTATGTTACGTCGGTTTATATTCTGTTGGCCCCGCTCAGTGTTCTCAGCTCCGTTTTGTTTTGAAACACTTAACGTTAGCAACATAGCTGCTAATACAGCTATTAGCTACTCAGCTAGTATTAGCTCCTAAGTGTCTTAAACGAAAACGGAAAACCTAGTCGCCGTTTAGGAGGACAGATACGGCTCAAATGTCCCGTATACGTCAAGAGTTACACATTATGACAATCTTAGTAAAACCGAAGTCCCTCACACAATAACTGACGTTTGCATTGCATAACTTGCATTGGCTGTAAAGCTGTGGATGATGGTCACGGAGATGAGCCAGCAGATTTGTAGTGTTGCTACCCTTCGCAGCAACTTTCTTTCTGCATGTTCTGCACACAGGATAGTTGTCCTGCACCAGCTGTCCCTTGGCATTCTTCAGAAACCCAAAGTACGCCCAGATCTCAGACTTTGTGCGTTTAGTTGGGGGGTGAAATGTCCTGAGTGCTGCTGTCACCACCTTCCGCCATGTTTTCATTCTTTGTGTTTACACTAGGGCTGTCAAAATTGCTCAAAAATGACGTTCGAATATTCCTTCTAAAAATAACTCAAAGGTTCGAACCATTCTAATATTTTTTTTTCCGCATTATGTCCACAAGAGGGCAAACTAATACAAGGAAACATACTTGTATATGTATTAATACAAGAAAACATAACTACTTGTAGGTATTTTTATTTCAACATAAACATCTTTGAAAACATTTACATACCTACACATTAAAACACATAAAACAATTATCTATAACATCACGTTATAAACGACCGCGGACCTCTTGCTCGCCCCCCCTCTCTGACCCGTGGCCACACCGCCCGCAGAAGCGCTGCGAATAGCCTCGAAGCGCAGGACCGTGACCAGCTCGCGCCCTGCAGCGATCGTTTCGGTGTCTGGTCTATTTTCTGCGCGAGCCGCGAGCGAATGTGTCAAGCCGGGTGACGGAGACAACAGCTGGGAGCAGAACCGCTTGTCGACCAGGCTGGAGAAATGCGCGTCTGATGCCAGCGCCCACTCGCAAAGAGGACAGCTGCGGTGGTGTTTTTTTTTTTTTTTTTCTCCACAATCGAATATCAATTTTCACATTCGAAGGTCCTTTTTTTTTTCAAATTCGAATTTAAATTCGAATTTAGAATATTCGTTGACAGCCCTAGTTTACACATGGTATGCATTCACGCAGCGCCTGCATTGCGAGACTTGAATGAGGCTGTTATTACATGTCCTGATAATCCACCGCAATAATGCAATTAATTTAAACATAAACGGTAATTCTTACCTTGTAAAAATTAACCAAAATTTACCGTAATATTGGTAATCGTTACATCCCTAGATGAGATGATCAACTCTAATCTGTGTCTTTAATTCACGTGACAGCATAGCACAAAGACAAAGCACATTGCCAAAATTTTCCAAATGCTGGAAATATTTTTCAAGGTCCAGTGTGTAAGATTAAAGTGGCGTCTAGCAGTGAGAAGTGCAGATTGCAACCAGCTGAAACCTTCCCTGGTTCACATTCCTTCAATGTTCATTGTTCAGGAGATTTTTTTTACTGTTACTTTAACATATCCAGGGGTTGCTTCTTCTCTAAAACAAATAAACCACGTTATTAAAATGGGTAAAAACACTGAATAAAGTGGTTTCTTGTTACAAATCAGTGTTTTTCTGATGCTGTTTGGCATGTCGGACAGCCTTACACCTGCTAATGTACACTCACCTTTTTTCTCTTATAACTTAATTTCTGGACATTCATGAGTTTATTACCAGGTACCGAATTATCCACAGAGGCTGCTTCCTCTCCAAAAAAAATGGATCAGATAATTTAACCCAGGTAAAACCCCAAATAAAGCAGTCACTTTTAATACAGTAAACCATCACATCTTATTAGAAAAACTGTATGAATACGGTTTTCAGGGTTGCTATTCCAACAAGGCTAGATTACCCTGTGGGGTTCCACAGGGGTCCATTCTTGGACCAATATTATTCCTCATCTATATACATGATTCATCTAATGTCTCAAATATCCTTTCCCCAATAATGTTTGCAGATGACACAACCCTTGTTCTCTCCAATTCAAATTATAATACTGATGAAAGATGCTAATGCTGGTTTCACCACCTATGCTATATGGTTCAGATTAAGATTATAAGAAAATCTAACTTCATTATTTTCAGTTGCAAAAAAGGGCACCAAAGATACATCCAAAATTATGATTGAGTCTACTGAGATGCCCCAAGTGTCCAGTACAAAATTTGTCCCTAAACCCTACACGCAGTACATTCAAGGTGCGGTCCTGATGAAGTATGTAACCTGTAAGCTTTATAAGGGATAAAAACCTCACTAAAACATAGATATACATCATTCCTTGAGAGTATTCTCTTCCATCCTCAGGATATCTTTGTGGAGTCAAATAAGGTTCATGTACGCTGACAAAACTTTTGGTATAACTTTGCTTCTGTGGCCAGTGATTTTTGTTTCCTTTCAGATACTTAGTAAATTTATTGTTAATGATGTATAAACATAAAAATGTGTGGGGGTTTTTTGTATCTGAGAGGGGGTTAATCACACCATTTTTGGGCTGGGATGAAATCTAGTCATGTTTTCTCCACAATAGGCTGGACCTTACAGCTCTACCCAACCTGTAATCAAAATACTTCACTAATCACTGCATGAACAATACTGTAATACACTTCATTAATGATAAATGCCATGTTTATACAGTATGGCACAGAGGACCAGTGAGGCTGGTTTGTTAGGAGCAGGCCAGATATCCGGAATGAATCAGCACATTTGTGTTCTTTTGTTTATGTATGTATTGACATGTGTTATTGTGTGTCCACCCTTATAAAAGGAGGCTGTCCCCCTCAGTCTGACATCAATCTCCTCTGGGACCAAGCTGGTGACACTGACCTGATCTCTTTTCACCTGGTGAACCTGAACTCTGAGGTGAGACCTGATGGAAAGCAACATGGAGGGAGGGAGTTTTATGGCTGGAACGAAAATATCTGTATATCTGTATCTCTATATATATATTGTCTGTAAACCGGCAGCATTATTAGTGTAAAACTTGAGAGTAGTTCTTCTCATTTACTGTTCAAAAGCTTTATTCTGTGCTACTGTAAACATGTTGCCATGTTGTCATCCTCCCTTAAAGTGCTGAGTCTGAACTTCTGACTTTATATTGTTAGCTCTTACCTGTTATTTTAAGCCTAATATTGCATGAATCTAATTTACAATATCAAGAGATTTCACAAGACTTGACACCATGGTGTCTGCACCTGTTTTAATTATTACTAGAAATTATTATCAGAAACATCAATCTTTTTGTCCAGCTTCAGCTATGGGTCGTCTGGATTGCGTCTGTGAAGCCCTTGGAAAAATGTTTGATGAGCACGCTGTCAACGGCAAGTTGACCAGGGAGCAGCTGAAGCAGCTGTTTGAGAAGGAATCTGACATGAAAGTAAGCAACTCAGTGCTCTCACTTTACATGACATAGTTACAAATGCACCTCTATACATAGCACATTCATTTGTTACCATGCTTCTTATTCACCATTCAGATGCATTTAATGCTGTCATAATGTGTTCTGCAGGCAAAAATGGAGTCAGGTTGCTGTGAGAAGATGAAGGAGTGGATGGACAAGAACTGCAAAGACCCGATGGATTTCAACGACTTCTGTAGTTGTGTGTGTATGGTGGCCTCCAACAAATACAGCAAAGGCCAACAAGGTGGCAGCTGTGGACAAGCCTGCAAATAAAATCTTTAAAGGATTGCCATCAAAATTGAAATGTGCAAATGTGATATGTGACACCACTGCCAATTCCATCTAATTTGACTTTACACTTTCCAAATAGTGTCCATTCAATACTTGCTGAGGAAAAAAATAAAAGCTATGAAGTTTAATACGATGTGGGCTTCTCTGTCTTTTTATGGCTATCATTATTTTTGTAGAAACATTTGTGGAAGGAAAGAAAATATCTGTAATATGTTCAGATACTGAGCATGATGAGTGCAAAACAGCCTGACACATGCAACGGACATGACAAAGTATTGTCTGTAAACTGGCAGCATTGTTAGTCTAAAACTTGAGAGTAGTTCCTCTCATTTACAAGAGTACTATTCCGTGCGACTGTAAACACATGTTGTAATGATATATTCTCCAGCAACACATCTATGCAGCTCACTGTGACATGATGCCACGGATGCTGGATATGAACGCTGATGGACAGATGAGCTTAGAAGAGTTCTGTGTGTGTGTAGGATGCTCACTTTCCACTACATTAGGTCGATACGCATGCGTCAATTCAACTTCTCACAAGTTCACACGTAAAACTTTGAATAATTAACATCAAAATATGTAAAGCAAAAATGTACAAATGGCATATGTGGCACCGCCCACTGATAAATCCACTCTAGACTCAGGGTTTAAAAATTGGTTTTCTCAGAAGTGTCCATTCTCTGCTTGTTGAGAAAAAAAGTTTTAATGGATGTGGGCTTCTTTGTCTTTCATGGCAATCACTGCATGTGTAGGAATTTGCTTTTCCTCTTTCCCTTGCCATCTGTTTGTACAAAACCAACTTTTTGCATCAGTTTGTTTGAAAGCAACTGAGTCAAATAAGGTTCATGCACGCTGACAGAACTTTTGGTTAAGCTTTGCTTCTATCAGACTGGTACCACCAACAGAGAGGACTCAGTAGCAGGACTCAAAAACACAAGGACTTTAATGAAGGTTCGGTGAACAGAAAAACAGCCCTAAAAATGCAAGATACCTGATCAAAAACTAACACGACAAACACATGGCTAGAACATGTGCTCCAAACTACAGAGACGAACTGCCACAGACAAAAAGGCAGCAGGTGGACTGAACACACAAGGGAGGAGAGGTAATGAGGGACAGGTGAGAGCAATCATGGCGGGGCAGGTAATCACACAGGAGGGAAACACACAGGGGCAGGAAGTGCCTGAAATAAGAGACAAGGGTAAGTGTCAAAATAAAACAGGAAATACTGACAAAACTGAAAACAAGGAAACATGATGGGGACTTCAGGGTGCAACAGCTTCTATGTCCAGTGATTTTGGTTTCCTTTCAGACCACTTATCAAATCAATTACTGATAATGTATTCGCATAAAAATATGTCAGGTTTTTCTTTGTATCTGAGGGAGGTTTAATCACGCCATTTTTGGGCTGGGATGAAATGTAGTCGCGGTGTAGTTTTCCCCACAACAGGCTGCACCTTACAGCTCCACTCATCTTGTAAACAAAATACTTCACAAATCACTGCATGAACATAAAGACAGATTTCTCCAGTGATAAAGCCATGTTTGGCACAGAGGACCGGTGAAGCTGGTTTGTTGGAATCAGGTCAGATATCTGGAATGAATCAGCACATTTGTGTTCTTCTGTTTATCTATGTATCTACACGCGTTGGATATTTTGTGTCCACCTTTATAAAAGGAGGCTGTCCCCCTCAGTCTGACATCAGTCTTCTCTGGGACCAAGCTGGTGACACTGACCTGATCTCTCTTCACCTGGTGAACCTGAACTCTGAGGTGAGTCCTGATAGAAAGATGTTCAGATACTGAGCATGACAGTGTTAGGCTAAACCTTGAGAGTAGTTCCTTATATTTACAAAAGCTGTATCTGTGCTTCTGTAAACACATGTTGCTCTGAGTATTTGTCATCCTCCCTTACAGTGCTGAGTCTGAACTTCTGACTTTTACTTTGTTAGCTCTTACCTGTTTACTTTAGCCTAAAATTGCACGAATCTAACTGAACAATATCAAGAGATATCACCCTAGTGTGCAAAACTTCCTCTTCGTCCTCTGTGTTTTAAAAGCAGTAACTTGTGTTGTTGTTTTGAAAAATTATTACACATAATCAGTATCAATCTTTTGTCCAGCTTCAGCGATGGCTCTTCTGGATTGCACCTTAGAAGCCGCTATAAATTGGCATGACACCCACGCTAAAAAACTGTTTGACAAGCACGCTGTCGACGGCAAGTTGACCAAGGACCAGCTGAATAAGCTCGTACAGGAGGACTCTAACAATGAAATGATGAAAGTAAGCAACTCAGCGCTCACTTTACATGACGTAGTTACAAATGCACCTCTATACATAGCACATTCATTTGTTACCATGCTTCTCACTCACCATTCAGATGCATTTCACGCTGTCATAATATGTTCTGCAGACGAAAATGGCAGCAGGTGGCTGTGAGAGGATGAAGCAATGGATGGAAAAGAACTGCATCGACACGATGGACTTTGAGGTCTTCTCTAGGTGGTTGAATATGGTGGCCTACACCAGATACTGTAAGGCCAAATGCCAACAAGGTGACAGCTGTGCACAAGCCTGCAAATAAAACCTTTAAAGGATTGCCATCAAAATCGAATTGAACAAAAATGTGCAAATGTCATATGTGACACTGCCTACTGCTAAATCCATCTAATTTGACTTTAATATTGTTTTTCAAAATAAAAACTATGAAGTTTGATATGACGTGGGCTTCTCTGTCTTTTTATTGCTATCATTACTTGTGTAAGCACTGCCTTTATGAACCAAGGGATGAGAGTTAATTTATTCTCACAGAATTTATAGCTACACACAAGAAATTAATTTGTTGTCACGGTGAAGAATGTGTCAAAACATGGTAAGAATTCTGTATCTGAAAGCAGGGGGTGGGTAATTACACCTTACTAGTAACCCACACGAGTAAAATGTATTTTTTTAAAGTAAAAATGACTATTCATTTTCCTTTTAAAAACTGTACTCCTATTCTTTACTCCGGTTTATTTTTGAGCCAGTAATCTACTTCTTGCTTCACTACATTGCTGTTTATACCTTTGTCACAACAAGTCTGCTGTTAAAGCAAGGAATGTGTGTAGGCAGGAGAGCGTGCGAGGAGCACCTTTACTGCAGATGCCATGTTGCCAGCTGGAAGCAAAAGTGGCACCACCTGTTTTTTGACCTTGATGCGATGATAACAAAGCAAAACCCACAACAAGTCGCAGCTTCAAGAGACAATCCCTGACCACATCTACATGATGAGTAATTCATCAAAACATGGATACACATCATTTACTTGAGAGGAATTTTCTTTAATCTTCAGGAATTGTGCACAGCGTTAGTTCAGGTAGCTCAGCTCACATCCCAGCTACATCAGCTGATCTCAAACAGCCCAGTAAACTGATGGAGCAGCTGAGTGATGGAAGGGAGTCAGCTGAAAAATCACATGATTCCTTTCTATGCAATCAACTGGTGAATCTCATTCAGAGTGCCCTATTTAAACTGCTCTGGCCTGCCTACTGTTGCTGCTTCCTCTGCAAGCCGCTTTGCAACCCACCTCCACCTCAGCTCCTCCTTTTCATGCTGTGTCTGACTTATCAATGTGATTTCTATTTGTCATTGATGCTGCTCTGTTCTGTTCCTGGGGGTCTTTGCTGCTGCTCTCCCTGCCTTAGTCCTTGTTTACACGGATACCGATAAAAATAAAAACGGATTTTTATTTATCCAGTGTAAAAAAATCCGGGTTTACACGATCAGTTGTGAAAACGATATCCCTGTTTACATGGAAACGCAGAAACGGCAGCTTTTTGCTGCAATTAGCATGCCAGGGCAGTAGGTGGTGATAAGCCATATGTCAAACACCATAGAAGAACGTTGTGCGCATGCATAGTGGTTTGTTTTCCTCTTGGCGCTAGTAATAAAAACAATGATAAACTACATTTAGCTGCTATGCACTTACTACTATTGGGCACAGCAGACGTCTTTGTGCGCTGATTTAGAGGTGATGTTGATGCAGCAGTGCTAAGTTTGTAAGCTCGTCAGTAGTTACAAAAGTGCTAACAAAACGTAAACAACCCGGCATATATCTGCCATTGTTGTTGTTGTTCCCGAGCGCCTAATGGGCATGCGCTAACTGGGTTGCAATGTCATCGTTACCCTGTTCATCTCCATAGAAACGGATATTTTTAAAAACTTTCACTTTGTTTTTTTTTTTGTCAAGAAAAACGCCGGTTACATGTAAATGATAGCTGCAAACGCAAAGATAAATTCCCGTTTTCAGAAATATACGGAACCGTAGAAACAGGCCCTTAACCCTATGGGCCCAAACGACGCAAAGTGCGTCCAAATTCACACCTGTTCTTCTCTATGGATTCTCTCTGCAACCATTAACCATAGCAAGAAGCCACTCATATCACGCGGAACCACAGCTTTCCAACAAGACCAAGCACCTGTTGGTAGTCCAACATTTTCACAAGGAAAAACAATGATAAAGTTACACTAAAATTACACTGAACAAAAATATAAACGCAACACTTGTTTTTGCTCCCATTTTTCATGAGCTGAACTCAAAGATCTAAAACATTTTCTATACACACAAAAGACCATTTCCCTCAAATATTGTTCACAAATCTGTCTAAATCTGTGTTAGTAGCACTTAGCACTTCTCCTTTGCCGAGATAATCCATCCCACCTCACAGGTGTGGCATATCAAGACAGCATGATTATTGCACAGGTGTGCCTTAGGCTGGCCACAATAAAAGGCCACTCTGAAATGTTCAGTTTTATCACACAGCACAATGCCACAGATGTCGCAAGTTTTGAGGGAGCGTGCAATTGGCATGCTGACTGCAGGAATGTCCACCAGAGCTGTTGCCCGTGAATTGAATGTTCATTTCTCTACCATAAGCCATCTCCAAAGGCGTTTCAGACAATTTGGCAGTACATCCAAGTTGTTGTTCACCTCCAAGATCGTCTGAGACCAGCCACCCGGACAGCTGCTGCAACAATCGGTTTGCATAACAAAAGAATTTCTGCACAAACTGTCAAAAACCGTTTTGTTGTTGTTTTTTCTGTGATTTATTACTTTGGAAACAAAGATTAAAATGTCCACATGATAAATTGTGAGGGCTCTAGTTTCCCGGTGCAGGGTGGTGCAGGGTGGCGCAGGGTGGCGAATCCCGCACAGAGCTAGTTTCGAGCAGCGCAACCTGAAGTGCGCTCGGTTTGGTAGTTTGGCAGACCAAGGTGCGCTGAGATGGGTGTGGTGGCGCAGCAGGGGGAGGTGTCGACAGATCCAGCTTGCCGCAGTGACAGTTTCGTGCCAAAAGGCTTCGCCGAAGGTGCGCTAAAAGCTCGCTGGCTGAAACCAGGTCTACTGTCAGCGCAGGCGGAGTGCAGCCAGTGTAAGTGGAAGTTTGGCTGACCGGCGGACAGTGCGCACACGTCACCAAAACCTCACAAGCAGGTTTCCAGAATGTCAGGCACATTAACGATGCAATAAATACCCAAAAAATCAGCACATAAATGTATCTCTATATTGACTGTCCCGTCACATCTGATGTCAGATCAAAGGGGATTGCCACCGTTTGGCACGCGTAAAGGCCCATTTATGCTCAACGTTAAATACGGATCCGGATACGGACAGAGCAATCTGTCCGTGCTCCGTGTTCATTTCGTCCGTATTTCTGCACGTTTCCATAAAGCTTTCTGATACGGGCCAAAAGGAGCAGTACCACCGGAAACCGTGGGGGCAGTGTTGCTGTCACTACCCGATATGTAGCTCTAGTGAGACAGGAAGAAGAAATACCAATGGCGGAACTTTTTGAAGAAAGATTGTGCGAATTAGTCAGAAACTATAAACATCTCTATGATGTTACTTCTCCTGGACACCGGGATAAACAAGTGCTACAGAACAGCTGGGAGGAGATTGGAAGGGAATTAAATGTGAGTTGGTCAGTAGCGAAGGAGAAGTGGAGGTCTGTGCGAGACAGATTTGTTCGAGCCCACAACAAGTCCATGAGCAAGCGGAGTGGGGATGCTGCTGATGGGGTGGATCCACCAATTCTTC